TGAAGCACACTAAGAGGCAAAGATGTGGCACAAGTGTTACATTTTTATGGAAAGAGAGGATAATGATGGTTTCAGCCTGAGGCTCCATGCCTTGTTCTTGGCTCTCACAGAGGAGCTGTGTGTGGCTTTCCAGTCTGATTCCAGTCTGTGGATAAAGTCCTCCACGGAGGGTGGTGGGAAGCTCTTAATTACAGCAGAGTGGTGAAGGCTGGGGTGGCTCTTGAGTTTCACTCAGCAACAGAGTGAGAGTTTTTTCAGGTGTCATTAGATGCAGTCCTGCCATTCAAATGCTACGGCAGATTTGGGAAGAGGAGAGCTGCTGTGATGGGCTCACCATCAGTATTGCCTGCCAGCTTCATGGGGAGACCCTGCAGAGGAGACTCAGAGAGGGAGTCACTGAGCTCAGCATCCTTGAGCGTGCTGCTGTGGCAATGGGATGAGTTAGTCCTAGACAGAATTTAATCTTATTTTTTGGGTTTTTTGGTTTTTGCCTTGACAAAGAGGTTGTCAGGACAAGAAACAATGTTCAAAGATGTGTGTGAGAAGTTGATAGGAAAAATATTTATTTGTACATTCAGTTCTCTTAATTCAGAAGATGAAAATTTATCTCCTGACTGAATTGGAAGAGGGGGACAGCTGTTTCAGGGAACCGGGCCGCGGTGGCGATGGCTGCGGGTGCCGCCGCTCCGGCACCGCGGGGACAGCGGCGCTGCCGCCCACGCACTGGCCACCTGTTCAGCTTGTTCATTTCTAACGTTTTCCAGGGGCAGCGGTCCCGTGGGTTATGTGTCTGCCAGCTGCTGTTGGCTGCATGTGATCAGGGCTGTAGTGAGTGCTCTGTGTACTCGGGCAGCGAGAAGCAGGTGAAGATGCTCTTAATGAAGCATCTAGCGCAGTGAAGCTGCAGTTTTGTTTTTTTCCTTCTGTCTTTCAAAGAGAAATAAGCAGTATTACTCTTAAAGATCCGTACATGCTTCATTTTTCCTTCGTTGGAGCAAAACTTGACATTGGAATAACTCCCTAAACTTCAACATCTATTTGAAATGTGACTCCTTATAAAAACAGGAATTTAAATTCTGTGTAAAAACCATGTACTGAAATTGTTTAAAGGTGTAAGTGGAGCTAAACCACAAGTGCCTCTAGGTTTTCATACCCAGCTTTCACTTTAGTAGGGGAAAAAGCAAATCTTTAAATTAATGCTCAAAGAGGATATATCTGAATATCTGGATATATGACTTGTTTGAAATGTTAAATGCAAGGTGAGAAAGTTTTTTAATGGTTAACTGCTTGAGGCTCTTTCATATTTTTATATTACTCTGGCTAAATTACTACTGCAACTTGAAAAAGTTATATTTAATTTAATTAAATAGCTCTTTGAGAAGTTTGCTCTGTCTTAAATATTTTCATTGTTTGATAGCTTACTAAGGTTAGCAAATGTAAAGCAAAAAAAAGTTACCTTTTTTGAAAGACACAGATATGGAAGGGAAGAAAAGTTTGTATCTGTTGTGTGACTGCAATAAAGAAAAACAAATCTGAGGGCAGTTAATCTTGTTTTCCCTTAAATTTGTCTTTACTTATCTTCAGTCATTTTGCAGAATGCAATCAGATCTGATATTCTGAGTCACTGAAATTTAGTTACAGCATACATTCTCCCATGAAGCAGCAGTAGTTGCTTATGAAGTATATCTCACAGAGTTATGACAACAGATTCTATACCACCAGAATGCAAAATCCAAAGAAGCAATACGAAACTGAAGCAGGTTAATGGAAAGCAGCAGAATCAATGAGGCTTTGCTCTATACTTATGGTAGTATTCCGAGTTTAGTTTACATTTGGATGTACATACAGTAATGTATTTCTTTAATTTTAAATTTCCTGTTTGTGGTTCTTCCTACTAAAATTAAAATGTGGAAACAGAGGCACTGACCGTGAAGATGAGAATGGACTGAAAGCCAAGGTCTGATGTGTATGCATCTTGCACAGAGCAGAGGAAGGGGCTTGTGCCATGGAAAGGAAGTGCTGCTGCGAAGGATTTGAGCTCCATTATGGAAGCTCCTAATGGGGGGAATGTGCCCAGGATTACTGCCCTTCAGTTTAGGCATTTCTCTTGGGATTCTGGTTATACATAATGTCTTCTCTTTTTCCAGGTTGACCAGCTTCAAAGGTAGCTCAGACTTGGACAGGTTGAGTGCTTGGCAGTGTCCAAGAGCTAATGTCCTGTACAAATACCTGTTTTTCTGTTTTTGCTACTACAGCATTCCAATGCAATTAGTCTTTCTTTTTCTCTCCACATTTCCAAGCTGTTACTTTTACTGTTAGCTTTGTTTCATTTTTAAGTGCTTCAAATTGAAGAGTGTTAATAAATTCATTAAAAATGACCAACGTTAAAAAAAAGAGATGAGAGAGAATTCACTGTACACTCAATATTCTGACAAGTAAAAAAACCCAGAGGAGCTGTATGCTGCAGTAGACTACTATAAATTATTCTGTATCTTGACAGTTAACTACATTTCTATATATGACAGTACTTGGGACATGTTAAATAGACTTCAGATTATCCTTAGTGCAAGTTGCAGCTTTTCATCTTTTCCATTGGAAATACTATTATTTTTTAGCTTTGCAGGAGAACTTTATTCTGTACATCCAGATTTTGCACAGAAATAAAAGTAATTTAAGAAATATACAGTAATCTTAAAATGCCACTCAACCCTTAGCAATTCTTACTACCTAAAGTAGTGAATATGGAAGGCATATGTTAAATATTTTAAAGGCATTTCAGTTTGCTGAACTATGATGGTTAGAAATGAGAAAGTCAGAATTAAATTTATATTTCATTGCCTTATTCATAAGGGTTTTGTTTGGTATTGGGGTAATAGAGAAGCAAATCACCTAAAGAATGAAGTCTGCAAGCATGAAAACACATTTTCATAATTGCCTTGGCAGGAAGCCTGCATGCTCTCGTAGCAGAGCTGTGAATATTCCATGGGATGAGGGAGCTGCTGGCTCAGCAGAGGGGCACTGTCCATGTGAGTGCTTGTCTCTTTCCTGAGTCCCCCAAAAGAACATGTATGTGTGCTGGGAAAAAAACCCTCAAACCATCCATAATTATTTGCATTTTCTGGTATCTCAACTTGTCCAAAATATTTAGAAAATGAGAGAAGAATAAGAGGAAACAAATCAGTGGAATGAAGTTTGATTTCTGTTAGAAACAGCTTCAAGTGTTGTGAAGAGTCTGTGCAAGGAGTGGATTTTTGGCAGGCAGGTGGATAGGTGCTGTTTTGGGTGGATGTGCAGACACAATATGAATAGTTCTCCCATTGATTTTTAATTAGCAGTGGTACAGGATGGGGTGTCAGTGTCAGGCTGCTGCTCTCAGGAGTTCATCCAGGAAATTTGTCCAAGTCACAGCAACCTCTGTTGAAGTTTGCTTGCCTCTACAGGAAGCCTTTTTTTACCATAGGGATCTCCTGGGGCTTGTTCTGTATCGTTAATTGTTCTGTTAAGATGAGGAACAGAAGTATCATGTATTTTTAACTAGCTTGAATTTTTTTTCAGAGGCATAGTTTTTTGGCTTTGCATCACTACTGCCTACATTTAATTTTTCTTTTTAGAGGATTTCTGATACCCAGTACATAGCTGGCATCTCTACTATTGTTTCCTATCAAAATAAAACAGCTTTCAAGTTTGTAATTAATTTGGAGAGTTTTTCAGAAAATGGTTAGATTTTTCAAAGAAGCACATGAGTTTGCAAACTTAGCAAGCTTTGTGTGGAATGAAAATTTTCCTCTGATATTAGGGAAATAGAAGTTGTCCACTGTAGGCCCATTATCAGTATAGCAGAGATTTTGCTAATTTGATAACAGTGTTGTAGCTTAAGTGACTTGAAAGTGTTGACATAAGATAACTGTAAACCTAAAGCCACCATACTTACTGTAGATGCCAAAAAATTCTTCAATAATAAATTATTATGCCACTGGGGACAGTCTTATTTGCTGCAGGTTAGCTATTACAAATATCTCTTTCTTCCCTCTGGAAAAATATTTACGTTTTCTGGCTACACATCTATTTATTTGTTTGTTTTACTTAAGCAAAATACAGGAGGGACGAAAAACCTTTCTGTTAGTTGTGTTTGACATTTTTTTACTGTTAAAGTTCAAGAATATGATGTGATATTCAAACTTCTCACAGACTTGATAAGGAGAAATATCCTACTAAATAATTCAAGAGTGGATAGAAACCTTGGCAAAAGACCTGGATCCCTGGAGATCTTCCAAACTTTGCTTTCTCCCTTAAAATGAAACTTTGATAAAACTGGGTTGATTGCAAGGTTTAATTCTATAATGTGCTCTTCTAGGAGTTTGTTTTCAAGATGTACTCAACTTTGATATGAAGTCCACCAAGTGCTATTAGGTGTCAATCTTGGAGCCATTGTGTGCTCTTCCCTAAGATCCAGTGGTTTCATGTCATTCACAGTGTTGTAGCCTCAGTGGCTAGAACTCCATTTTCTTCACAGTGCACATGCTTGTTAAAACACTCCAATGGCAGTGCTTTTAGTTTACTCCAAAAAATGGAGGCATCTCAGTTGTTTATGTTCAGTTATTTGAAGGCTGAAAAGAAAATTATGTATTTGAAGACAAGCTAAGAGCTAAGTTTTATTAGCAGCTGCTGCTGCTACCATGGAGAAGATCAACCATTATATTCAGCATATGCATATAAAGTACTGCACGGAGGTATCCATGCAGACCTACCTCTGACATCCAAAGGACACCAGGGAAAGAGCAGACGTTTCCTTGCATGCTGCCTGTGTGCATGTCTGGCTGCCCCAGCGTGGCTTGTCCAGCTGGGACTCCGAAGAGCTCCACTCTCAGGTGGCCAGGGAACCCCTGTCTTTTTTTTCCTGTTCACAGGTTCCAAGTGTGTGCAGCACTGTGTATTTTTACTTTGAGACTAACTGCATTTATTTCTGTTCTCCCCCCTCTCCTTGTTTTGCTCTTGCACAGCTGAACAAGCAGCAGCTGCAGGTACTGAAGGAACGTTTCCAGGCCTTTCTGAACGGGGAGACGCAAATCGTAGCAGATGAAGCATTTTGCAACGCTGTGCGGAGCTACTATGAGGTGAGCTGTGTGCTTTGTTCTCCCTATTATGTTCACAGTATGCCTTTTAATGAAGGTACAAGGAAAGGAATTTCAGGTTTCAAAGGCCGTGAACTTCCAAACCTTCTAGAAACTATTTCCTCCTAAACCAGCTTTGCTGTTTTAGAAGTTGAAATCTACTGCCTGAGTACAAGAGAGGAATTGAACTGGGAAATATCCACCCTTTTTTAAGAAGGAAAAAAAAATTATAAGAGAAGATAAAATGAAAAACCCCTGGTGCTAAAAATCTTCCTGGCAGCACTTGATACAACTAGGCACTGCTATCTTTATCTCCATATGTCCAAGGTACCTCTTTTAATCAGCACTTTGTAAGTTACCATCCTGAGAAATATGTCTTCAGATTTTTAGTTACCATGCAGAAGGTTTGGTGAAGACCTGCCTGTTGCCATCCGAAAGAACAGAAGGTTTCCATGCAGATGGGCCAGCTCTCACAATCTGCTGTGACCTCCCAGGCATGTTCAGTGCCTGCAGCCCCAGTGCAGATCTGTAGGTGAAGTTTTCATTGCCAAAGGGACAGGTCCAGTTCCAAACTAGAGGACAGTTTCCTGTCCATCAGCAGCATAGGGATAGTGAATTATCCTGTTACTCTTAGTAAATGTTACTGTGTTTTCATTTTGCTTCCTCTAATTTCCTACCTGCTCAATGAATCAAAAAGGCTGGATGTTAAACTTCTATGCCTTTTGAGACATCTTCCTTCATATTTCAGCCTGCCACAATTTTTTTTTTCAAAATTAGCTTTATTTTTGGTACATTATTTGTTCATTTTTCCTGTCAGCTATTGTTTGCTAGTGAATTACTTTTTCCTTAAGCAGAAAAAGATGTAATTTGTGTCCTAGCTTGTTTTTATCTACAATAAATTATATTGCACAAGAAAAAAAAAAGGAGGGATGAGCAAATGTTTTCCTTTTGTGCTGAAATCATGGACTCAGTATGTAGAAATAGAAATTTGTATAGAAACCATAAAACTCAGTATAAATTTTCCCATATTATGCCCTGATGACTGCTGTGGCATTTGAAATTACGGAATTCTCACAAAAACACTTGTGAAAAGATGGGGATAGATCTGCAGATGAAACTACAATATGAACATTCTAAAGCTACTATTTTAGATTTGTGAGAACATGACAGAAGTGGCTAGAAAGTAATCCATTTTTCTGTATAGCCAATGAAGACGTTGAGGCTGGGAGGAAGGACAGTTTGGAGGATGGTGCAGGGCAAGGCTGAGCTAGTTAGTGACCCAGCAATAGGTTTCAGAGTAGGGGCATGTCTCAAGACACTGAACATAGGGTAGAAGTGAAAAGGACTTAAAGTTTCATTCTTTAGCACAATGTGTAAAAATCTTGATGTGTTAGAGTAAGTAGTCTGCTCTTTGGAAAGGATGTGATAGTGAATAAAAATTATTTGAAAACAAATGTCTAAAGAGTAAGTGTTCTGTTAAGATTTACTTCATGCCTTTTTTAATGATTTTTTTTAGACACATTGAGAACTGGTTTTTAGCATATCTGCTCTTGCAGTAAAAGTCTGTGCATAATAATCTAAGATAGCCTTGTAAAATGAAAGGCTCAAATTTTCTAGCTATTTTCAGACATTCACCATTTTGAATTACGTGTTTTGGGTGTCCGGTTTTAAACAGAGAATACTAAAACTCTCAGCATTACTGTCAAGGATAGAGTGACACCGAACGCTTCATCCTGTTTTAATATACCATGAGCTGATATACCAGCTGTAATTTCAGTCTTTTTTTGTTTGTTTATCCCAGCCTCCCAATTCCATTTTGTATTCTTTCCACACACTTCCTTCCAGACTTGCACAGCCCTTTCTAGTTGAGCAGTTTGAGTCAGCATTTGATAGTGATTTTTAGTTTCTTTTCAGGGTTGCAGTAAATAGTTACCAGTAGATTTAATGACCAATGCAGTGGTGGAATACAGCTGGAGACTGAGTTCAAGTTACTGCTTCTCTTTAATGCATTTTAATCAAATTTTATGCATCTAATCACATATTCCCATCTTTACTTGTATGTGTCTCTTGCACCTTTTTCCTTTTCTTTGCTACTCATTGGTTGAAAATATTAGTCTCTGTTACTTCTTTGTGTGCTCTGTTGATGCTGGGCTTTGGTGCTTTCTCCTCTCTATGTCTACCACATGTGGTCCATCACATCTTCCATGTGGTGATGTTTGTTAGTACTTAGAATTGTGGGCATCTTCCTTGTTTCTGTCATACAGCATCTTACAGATTTCCATGTTCATTTCCTTATACTTTAGTTGCTCACCTACAGTTCAATCTTACCTGACAGGGCAGGAAGGAAATATGTGGTCTGCTCAGTAATTATTTTATTCTGAATATCATTAACTTGCCTTTAATCCTATGCAGTAGTCATGGTTTGAGAGTTATTATAATATTGTTGGCAAATCCAGAATATATTCATTACTGTAGTTGATTTTCTACTTTGAGTGTGAAAGAGAAGGTCTGTTTTGGGGATGTGACATAAATTCTGTATCAGTAGCTGCAGGTGTTTTCACTGTAATCTGTAACTAATGAGTTTGTTTAGACTGTATCTTCCTAAGAATCTTAAGAAAAAGCTCCAAGGATTTAGGAACTTATTATTTTTTATAAATATTTGCAGAAAGAGCGATTTGATTTGTTTGCTAAATAATATGAATTTCAGCATTAATTTCACTAGGCTCTAAGTCATGCTCCTGTGTCAGAACTACTTGAGAAGTTTACACTAGTCAAGTTTTTTGCCTTATTTCCTCCACTATGCCTTTTCCAATGCTGCTGTGGTTTTTAAGATTTTGTATTAATAATCTGGCATCAGTTTTCATTCATCTTAAAAATGTAGTAGAAAAAAAAATCATATTCATAGGAAAAGTTACATAAATTCTTCTTTAACCCTCCAGAAAAGGTTATTTTCATGTTCTGTGTAATCTTCCCCTAGAATTCCACCACATTTTCTGAAAGTCTCACTGAAATTTAGCATGCTTCTTTTTTGTATACATGAAAGCATGATTATCTTGTTTTTCTCTTCAATCTCAGTTTAGAGAAGGTATGGAAATGTTTACTCTTTCTGAAATCCTTCTCTCAGAATTAACATAGGATTTTATTTTTTTGTGTGTGGAAAATTCCATTTCAGACATTGAGCCAGATTCTAATCAGTAGAACATCAGATGCTAGTGCTGCTTTTCAGATAAAGAGAAAAATTCAATCATATGGTAATTTTTTATGAGTAATTATATTGGACACACTGCTAAGTATAAAATTAATTGAGAAAGTGACTTATGAAATTAAATCCTTTTTTTGCTTAATTCAACCCTGTAGTTTAAAAACTTATTTGTGAAATAGTAGATAATTTTTCATTCACCAGTCTTGCGTGCTCTTTCACTGAGGTTGGAAAATGCTGTTGGGCAGAGCCCTGAGAGGGTTATTCTCCACCTTTAATATACTTACCTCTAATAGGTATGCATATACCTTAGGCTTAACTCACAGTGCTAATCCTTTCGTCTTGAATGTATGCAGTCTTAGGTATCAGTAAAATGGGTGCAAAGAACTGTAATGAATATTTGAAATACTGTGAAGACTTTTTCAATATTGTAATGATTGCAAGTTCTCAGGTTTTCAACTCTACTTAAAGCAATTTGGAGCTGCAGGAAGTACTCCATACTGGTGTTTTTCCTGTTTTTCTTGCTGTTCCATTTTAAATATGTGGTTCTAAGCCATGATTACTTCATGCTGCTTAAATCTGAATGTTAAATGCAGGATCTGTAATGCTTAGTACTGTGGGGTGTTTGAGAATTTAAAATCAGACTGTGTTTGACTGTACCAGTTTGCCTGTGATACAAAGATCATATTTAACATACCTTCTGTTTAAATTGAGGAGATTTGTGTACACAAACCTAGGTGTTAGTTTGGCACTGCTAGGCTGCCAAAAATGAACAAAAAGTAGAAAACAAATAAAAAAAGAAGAAAAAGAAGAAGACCCATGTCATAGAATCACAGAATAATTTGAGTGGGAAGGGACTCTGAAGATCATGTAGTCCAATCTGCCTGCCACAGGCCGGGACATCTTTCACTAGATCAGTTGCTCAAAGTCCCATCCAACCTGACTTTGAGGGCTTCCAGCAATGGGGCATCTCTGGACAATCTGTCCCTGTATTTTACCACTTTTATTATAAAAATTTCTTCCTTACACCCAACCCAAATCTGCCTTTAACAGCTTTCTAAATGTAAAAGAAAGCGTTCCCTGCCTCCATACCAATGTGCATAGGTGGCAGCTTTCATCTTCTGCAGGAAGTGGGCCAAGTGTCCTACAATTACCCAGCTCCTTTGGTACCTAATCCTGAACTGCTAATGCAAGTCCTTGCACTTATCCTTAGAATGGGATGAATTGTGTTCATGAGAGCTTTTTTATATGAAGACCTTAAATGTTTTGTTACTCTGTTAAAAAAGTTGAGGTATTTCTGTAAAGAAGGGAGTGAAATGATGCTATTTCTACCTGTGATTATGGAAAACTTGGTCTGAAAATTTTTTGCATGGATGTGAGGGCAGAAGGATCTCACTGGTGAAAGGAGAAAAAGGACCTAGCTTTCTGGAGTAAGTGGTGCTTTGATTGCTTTCACAATTTTATTTTTACTATCAGCTATTTTAGGCACACCATTTTTATTCAAGGCAACAAAAGGCATAGCTGATCCAGATGAATGTTTCAGAGATGAAGATGACACCTAAAGGAAACAGAAAGCATTTGTTAGAATCAAAACATAGCACATAAAAAATAAATAGTAATTAAATGTTGGAACATTTTGGTTTTATATTATTGAGATAAAATAATGAAATCAGTAGATTAATCATTTATTTAAATACATTAGGCTAATAAGTGTAGAAGATAACAGTTTCAGAGCACAAGTCACTGTTGACTGCTTTCATTTCTTTAAAAAGTCATAATTGGTATACACATGTGTTTAAGGATG